TGATTATCCTCATCTTAAATGTTTCTTTAAATAGACCCAGCCTTCTACAGATAGTATGCATAGCTAGAAATGGTGAGTCTAACCACACTGAACTGAGATACTCAATCATTATCATCAAAGTTACAAAACTTTGCCAAAATTAACTTTCTTAATCTCACTCTTCCATCAAATTTGTACAGTGCCCATCATAACAACCTTTATATTTTAACATAAGTGAAGAGGAGAAAAGTAATATGTATGCAATACTAGTAGATTTCACGTGCTAAATATTTTGTAATTAATTTACTTAATCCTTACATCCATTGTTGAAAAGATAGATAATGTTTCCACCATTTTTTGAACAAGAAAACTTGAGGTTTAGTAAAGTTCGGCAATCTTGATTAGGTCATATAGCTACTAAATTGTGGAACTGTGATATCAGTACATGTCATTTGGACCTCAAAGATCCTAAATTCAAATTCAGGCAAGAGATTTAGAGTTCAGAGATCCTTTGCCTTCACATTTAAGGTATTCACAGACTCCTTTAAAGCATCTGAAGTCACTTAGACAGCAATATCTTGCTAAACCTGACTCAGTTTATTCTCCTTATGAAGAAACTAGTTATTCACAAACACAAACTAAAAGGTTTAATCAACTCATATAAAATTAATCCCATTACAATAATGCCTGAAGGTCTTTTAGATTCAGTATAGTTATACTTTGTCTTATGGTTAGTATTGCAGCAACTTGATATATATAGCCCATTTACTTCCTGGAGATATGCAATCAACTCTCCATTCACTAGTAAAAAATATGTTTTAACTCTAATATTTTTACACACGAGGTATCTCACACTAGACCAAGAATCAAGAGCTGTGGGTTCAAACCCTACATATCTTATCTAGTAGACTATATGACCCTGACAAGTACATAAACTCTCCTGAGCTTATTTTATTACCATGGATGAACTATAGATGTTAGATAGATGACCATGAAGGTCCCTTCAAGTTCTAACACTATATGATTTTTAGAAACTCTTCCCAAAGCCCTAGAAGCAGAAGTATCATGGGATATAACCTTTAAGACAATCTGTATGACAATGCCCAGACCAGGATCCCTGCACTTAGGCAATTAGATGGTCTTTCTTCAGTATCTAAGTTGTAGTAGTGGTGATAGAAATAATATTAGTGTCACTAAGATTTATTAAGCACTTGCTATGTGCCAAGCACCAAACTAAGAATTTTACATGCATTAAGTTATATCTAATTCAACGCAACAATATATGAGGTAGATAACTATTATTTCTCCAATTTTAATAATGAAGTAACAAAAGAACAGAAAGATTAGGTAACCTGACTGGGTCTATACCAATAATAAGTGGTGAAGCCAAAAGGAGCTCGGTTGACATACCTTTGTCTCCTACAGCCTGTGTGCTCTCTGAGGGCAAGGACCTTGTTTAATAAATTAATTAATTACTTTTTATTTATTGATTTTAAAAAGAAGAAGAGAGGTGAGAGGGAAAGAGAGAGAGAGAGAGAGAGAGATCAATTTGTCCACTTATTGATGCATTCATTCATTGACTGATTCTTATATGTGCCCTGAAACTGCAACCTTCTTGTATTAGGACAATACTCTAACCAACTGAGCTACTAGGCCAAGGCTGGCAAGGACTTTGTTTTATTGTAAGCCTAGCACTGTGTCAGGCAAGTAGTAGGTATCCATTTACCGTGTGGAATAAAAGAAATGAAAGAGATGAGGTGGGGGAGAAAGGGAAGATTGAAAGAAATTATATCTAGAAATTATATTTATTTACAACATAGCATAATATAATTATTATGATTTTCTTCCTTTATTTCTTTAACCCTGAAGTCACAGAAAATCTTGCAATTGTGCCCAGAAAGCCTGAGGCTTGGCGATTTATCCCTCCTTGGGATAAATATTATTTCTATCACCACTACTACAACAACTTAGACACTGAAGAAAGACCTCGCCCTAGCTGGTTAGAACATCAGCCCACAGACCACAGAGGCCCAGGTTCAGTGTCCACTAAGGGCAGGTACCTCGGTTGCAGTTTGTCCCTGGCCCTGGTTGGGGTCGTATGTGTGGCAACCACTCAATGTGTCTCTCTCACATCGATATCTCTCTCTCTCTCTCTCTTCCTCCCCCTCTCCCTCCCGCTCTATCTGAAGATTTTAAAAAAAGCAAAAAAAAAAGAAAAGAAAGACCTCTTTGGGATTCCACACTATAATTCCTGGTACAAGTCACTGAAGAAGCTGCTATTATTGGTTTAGTATTCTAGTTAATTCATGTTCTTGACTCATCTCTTAATTTCTAATGTTGAGACCAACAGAGGGATATAGTTTAATCTACCACACTAAGGTTCCAAAAATAATAACAATAATGTCTTTGATACTGGCCTCTCACCATTGGTGTAAACTAAGAAAAAAAAAAAAACTGGTCCCAGTGGAAAGGTCCTTCCAAGCCTAGCAGCACCCATGAATATCATCAACCAGAGGAATCAAAATTTGAGAAGCCTAAACAAGATGGTTTGATACAATAGATATTGACCCATTATGCAACCTCTGCCATTTTTATGTGACTGACTCATACTGCACAAAATGGAACTTTAGATGGTCTATTTGCAGCAAGTCTCAATTAGCCTATTTTGACTCTACCTCTACTTGGCTTTACCTCTACTTATTTACAGTTAGAATTTAGTAAATAATAGGAACTATAATTATAAACATGTATACAGTAAACACAGGGCCCATTACTTCTGTTTACCAAAACAGTCACAGATCTTTAATATGATCTGATCCTACCTGACCCAAAGAAAATCAACATACATTTGTGTGTGTGTTTCAGTGAGCTAGAGATGGGGTATGTGAAAGGAAGTGGGTAGGGGTGGTAGAAAGAGAGAAAGGTCAACGAGAATAAATGATTGCTCAGGAAACCTACAGCATTAATGATATAACACAGATTAGTTGATTCCTATGCTGCAAAGTATTTCTAAGGTGACGAGTTCCATTTAACTTAGTCATTAAATATCTCAGCACTGTGTATAGAATAAGGATAATATAAAGACTTTTCTCATAGAAAAAATTAATATGAAGTATACTGCAAATAGTCTGATGCCAATTCTTGGTTATAACAAGGATCAATTCTTACATAGTTATTTCTCATTTTAAGGACAGAATTTATCAGTAGTCTTCGGCTCTGTCTAATCAGCATTATGAGAACTAAAGGAACTCCATAAAGGCACATCCAAAATATCTACTGAGTAATAAGTTTCTAGGACTCTCTAGCCCTCTATTTTTAATATAATCCCAGACATGTTTTATTCATATATATATTAATTTAATATTTATTGACTACCTACTATGTATAAAACATAAGGGGCTGTGCACAATCTCTATCGTAGCACCTATATTTCCTACTTCCAAAGATATTAGTTAATTTATATTATGATGATTTATTTTTAGAAAACAGATTTAAATGGGTCAATAAATGAAAAAGATACACCAGCTCTCAGACTTCATATTACAACTGATAGACACTCCCTAGCATTTTTAATATGTTAATGAGAACAATGTCAGTCATTTGAATAAGTTTTCAATATGGGGAATTTGGAATTACCAAATATATTCTTTAAATACTTTTTATATTGAGTTGCAGCTTTTATATTGTATTTACAGAACTTAACTAGTGTAAGATACAGTGTATAATAGCTTGTCTATATTAAAATATAGATATTTGTCAGAAAATACACAGAGCTATCAACTAAAAGAAACAATATCACTGACAGCAACATTTAGGAAAATACCAGGTGCCCAGAATTGGATGAAAGTAACGGATAATATTCCAGCCTTAAAAAAATACATCTGGATTGTATCCCCTTTTCTATGACTGCTATTTAATTTTCACTTTTTCTTATTTCTCACTGCCACCCAACTGCAACAGAGACACATGCCCAAATCTAGAATTCATCTTACAATATACCCTTAAATTTTCTGAATGTGCCCCATGTGTCCACTAATAGCCAAATGCTTTCAAATCTGTTCAGCTAAATGGATCAATAACTACATCCAGCCTCATATAGTGGGGTTGCCAACATGGTGAAATTGAGCCAAACACAAAATGTGTCTACCAGGACAAAAATTATTATCAAGCCACTTATCTGGAGAGATCTACTCTCCCCAGGTATCCTTTAGAGAAGTTAACATACATATTATCTAGGAGAGTTGACTAAAAAATATTTGAGACTCAAAATGAAGGATTTGGAGAAAATATTTGGGAGCTAAAATCAGTGAGTTTTACAATTAATCAAGGTACTAGTTCAAGATCTGCATCAAGTAAGAATCTTTCAAACTCAAAGAGTACACAAAATACATAACAGCACAAGCAAACTGCTAACATGCTTCTCTGTGCGCTCACTCGTATGACACAGCTGCAAGCAACAATCGAGCAGGTGCAACCAAGCTTTTGAGAATTCCTCCTGTTGCCCAGGAACCACAACACCGCACGGCTGAGATTTTAAACAGGTGCAAATATTTTTTTTCCATTCCTCTACTGCTTGAGACAGAGCAGCAGACAGTACATCTGCAACCACTCCTTACCTAAAGCAATGACCACAGAAAACAAACTCTAAAACAGAAATAAAAGTTTGAAAATAAAGCAATAATGTCAAAAACAGTGGTTTTGCAATCATTTGACCCCATATCAGCAATCGCTTTAATAGAACAGTTCCATAAAACATTATCTAATGTTTTACCAGCTCAATGCTTTGTAATTAAAATTATTCTGCCTCATCAAATCCTAGAACTGTTTCTTTGATTCTTATAATAGAGTGAAATACAAGGTATGTATAAAATGTATTATCCTTTGAAGATGTCAATATTTATAAGTACTGAAAATTTAACATTTTCATATTATGAAATCTGTAAGCAATTTTAAAACACAAAAATGTAATAAAATCAGTTAATACATAGATTTATATAACTATAGGTAATTCATATACATACCTGTGTAGCTATGGGGCACAGACAGATGAGATTTATCAGGTACCTGAAATGCAAAACAATTAATAAGTAAAAATTAATTTTCTAAATAGAACCAGTATTATGCTGAGACAATTTCTGCAGAAAAGAAGGAAAAACTGCAGTGGTTAAAGAGGTGAGTTATTTTATTCCCATATTTTCCCAAGAGGATACTTCAAATTACCTTAAATTCATGTGTGTGAATATATACACACAAAGAGAGTCCCCTCACAGTGTTATCAAAACAAGTACCAGCAAGGGACTAAGACTCACCGTGGCCTCTGAAACGAAAATGCTTTCACTAGAGAACGAGGCAAACACTTTAAAATGATTTTTTTTGGTATTCTTCCAAGACTATTGCCTTCCTAATACACATATGACTACTACTCTCTAAAATGAAACCACTCAGATTCATCTGCACTCAGTTCAGTATATTGGTGAGGAATGAGAGTTGCTTTTGTAGAGCAGTCCACAAAAAAAAAAAAAAAGCATAAATAAATAAAGTAAATTTTGAATGTTCATTAACTTTAGTTTCAACAGCAAATAGAAATGAGATTGATTGCTCCAAGAGGGAATGTTAAAGCCACACCAGATACAGTGCTTCACCCAAACATTTTCAGGAAACTGATAATGAAGCAGGTATCAATACCAAAGAAAACACAAGTTCAGCTTCAGGGGAAGTATGCAAAATTTACAATTAGACCTGAAATACATTTGCATGTAGGTGGAACCTGTATTGTAACATTCAACCTCCACACTACCATGACCATTAAAATGTTTCATAATTATTTCTGAAAGCAAACAGAGGTGTTTAATTTATATACTTGTTCTAAGCATACTGGATGACAGTAATATATTAAAATCAGTAGGTTACCCTATATAATATTTGCTTAAGAGTGTATTGAAACAATGATCAATTTTGATAATGATTCAATAAAACACCAGTTTCACATACTTCTGATGAGTGTGTGAATTGGTAAAATGTTTCTGGGAAACTACTGGGTAATATGTATCAACAATTTAAAGTTCAAAATCTGTACTCATTAATTAGTTCTAGAAATCTATCTTACATAACTGAAAACAAATAGAGATTTATGTATAAAAATACTTTTTATGATAGAGAAAAAATAAAAGCAATCTAAATGCCCCCAAGTAGAAAAATAATTACATACAACATATATCAATATAAAGAAATATTTTGTAACAATTCACATGGTACCCCCAGTGGTACTATGATGTTATACAAACGTACAGGGCAGCAGTTGCATGGACATAAAGAAATTGTTTGAAAGACAAAACACACACACACACACACACACAAATATTGAGTGATTATATCTGGATAATAGGGTTGTGAATGATTTTTATTTTCATACCTAGGTAATTTCTACAGTAAATAATATTTTTTAATAGGGAAAAATTATTAGTTGACAGGAAAAGAGTAAGAAAAAAGTTATACAGTGCCGTACGAAGATCATAAATCCAACCTTCCTAACGAATGTCAATTAATTCAGTTACACACAAAATTCACCAAGTACACCCTACAGTGAGAAACTCATCCTCGAGGCTTCCTATAGGGGTACAGCCATGGTCTCTATCATCCCACTGCTTTGGAACCTACACCCATAATTCAGTCACACATTTTTAATCATTTTAGTAAAGTGTCTTTAATTATGCAGAGTGAAATGATGGCAAGAACAATCCAGGACTGCAAATCTGTTCAACCTAGTACAGATTAATTTATTTCCTAAGTAAATAATATTAAGTGAGCATCTATTACATGCAAAGTGTTATCCTTGGTGCTGATATGCTAAAACATAAATTGAAATACATCTTGCCTGGAAGGTGTGGCTCAGTGGTTGAGCATCGACCCATGGACCAAGAGGTCACCGGTTCGATTCCCAGTCAGGGCACATGCCCAGGTTGTGGGCCAAATCCCCAGTGGGGGGCATGCAGGAGGCGGCCAATCGATGTTCTCTCTCATTGATGTTCCTATCTCTCTCTCCCTCTACCTTTCTCTCTAAAATCAATAAAGAAAAAATTTTAAAAAGAAAAGAAATACATCTTACTCTCATAGAGCTAACAATTTTAAAGTGCTAAAAAATGTAAATATACCTTACTATTAATTTTACTGTAAACCCAAACTGCTCTAAAAAAGTCTTAAAAAAAAAAACTAAAAAATAAAACAAAACAAAAAAATGTACATATAGCTCACATAAAGATGTAAATATACTACAGCTTAAGGCATTTGTGACAGGTCTGGTATAGTTAAAAGCAAGAAAACATATATTGGGTTTATTCCTTTAAATTATTGAACAAAAATTGATATTTAGGTAATGGTTATTAAAAATTGATGAGTACATGAGTGTGTAACACATAAAATACCCTAGTAAATTACTTTAAGTATTTAATTTTTTTCCTTATGTGATCGACTTTTTGTTAATAGAGAGTAACAGGAGACCAGATATGAAGGGTTATTGATCCAATCTCAAATGCCAGATTTATAAAATTATCTCAGATCAGCTAAGGCCACATAAAAAATATGCACAATTATTAACAGGCCACAGTTATTTATTGGCAACAGTTAAAGTAAATAAGTAAGTTACTTGCTAACCCTGCCAAAGACACTGTTATAACCCTACCACCAGGGAAAGAAAAAGAGGAATAGACAGACAAGTGCTGAAGGAATGATCCCTAACAACCAAAGGTAGGTAATGGTATGGCAAGGGTACCATTTTTGTATGCAGATAAACTGCTGTGGAATAGAGTTTCTCTCAACAACAGTTTGGTTTCCTTGTGGCCTGTAACAATAATTGCCATTTGCCCCTTCTGAAGCTGGTACCACATGGTGGTTCTGAGGTCAGTCAGTGGGGTCCGCCTATGTGAAGTGGAACCAAGCACTGAGACAGGCTATTCGTGTGATCGATGATCTGTAGATCTGGGCCTCCCAGAGTTCTGAAGGCAACAGTTCTGAGAGGTAGGATGATGCTTACGTGACTAGCTTTTGCTGTCAGACAAGCCTAAAATCGAATTCTAGCTCCCTCTCTTCAACTGTGTAATCTCGAGCAAGTTATATTTTCCCTGCCTGTAAAAATGACAATCATGGTATCTACCTACAGGATTGTTTGTGCATATTATGTCATAGGCATGAAAAGATCTAGCACAGTGCCTGCTATAAAGCAGCATTGCTAAATGGAAGCTATTCTACTGTCTTAGTTGTATGAGGACATGTCTGTCCCTTTAGATAATGGATTAAGCTAAGCAAAGAGTGAGGCGATAAAAAAATGACTTTCTTGAGCTATTACTCTGTATTCCACAACTCAGCCAAGAGCCAGTCATGTGCTGAAAGTTCACAGAACATCTCTGAAGCAGGAAACTATAACAATATTAATAGCCACAATAAGTAGCCCTAAACAGCCTTTTTAAGTGCCATCCCTGTTACTAAAGAGGAAGGTAAGCCCAGCCACTGTGGCTCAGTGGATTGAGCCTAGTCCCCTGAGAGGTCCCGGTTCAGTTCTTGGCCAGGGCACATGCCCGAGTTGTGGGCTCGATCCCCAGTAAGGGGCATGCAGGAGGCAGCCGCTCAATGTCTCTCTCACATCAATGTTTCTCTCTCTCTCTCCCTTTCCCTCTCTAAAAAAATCATTAAAAATGCTTTTTTTTTTTTCAAAAAAGAGGAAGGTAGTAGCATCTAAGTAGTAACATGTGCAGCAATACTGCCCATTTTTCTGGTGAAAAATGAAGGATCATTTTCCATATTTAACTGAAACAACAAAATATGGAAAATTAAGACAACATGAATGTAATTATCCAGCTGGAATGAGGCCAAGGTATTGTGGGATCCTTAACAATCACTAGTGGGCAGAATTCATACTGCTACTGTCCTAGTCCTTACTGCTGCTTTGATTTGGAGGACTGCACAGATCCAGAATTGTTAAATGGTGTCTTCAGAATCCCATGCAGTTATCTAATCTCTTGAATTGTTTGGGTCATGTGAGGGTGAAGTTACTATCAGCACCATTCCAAATGGAGATATAGTGTGGAGGATATTTTTCAAGTTCCTCTCACTTCTAGGTTGGCACAGTGGAAACTGAATAGATCCAATGCTATGTTGTGAAGTTTAGGAAAGTTCATCTGCCCTCCACACTGGTTGGGCCTTTGCTAGATATGAGAGAAGGGGTTCTTTTTTTTTTTTATCCTCACCCGAGGACATTTTTCGATAGTTTGTTCGAATAGAGTGGGAAGGAGGGAGAGAGAGAGAGAAACATCGACGTGAAAGGGACACATCGAGTAGTTGCCACCCACACAACCCAACCAGGGCAGGGGACAAACTGCAACTGAGGTATGTACCCTTAGCGGGAACCGAACCCGAGTCTCTCTGGGCCGCAGGCTGATGCTTTCACCCCTGAGCCAAAAAGGCCAGGGAGAGAGAAGGGGTTCTTAACGGTGCCCCTTGAGCCATTAAAACTCTTATAGCTAATTCACTTAGGGCACTGAGAAGAACCTCGGTTGAGTCTGTAAGGCCAATGGCTCCATGAACAGACTCTGAGCCTAAATTTGGACTAAAAAACATTTCTCTTATGACTGAATAAGCATCCTTACGAACATTTTAGGTACTTTACATTTTAAATTTGACCTATTTTGAGAAAAGATACTATATAATCCCAAATACTTTAATTTTATTTAATATGTATTTACTTCTTCTAGACCTACTACTGAGCTGGGTGCTCTATCATTATTACAGTTATTATAAAATTATAGACTTTAATAATCAATAAATCCAATTTAATATTTAAAATTGAGGTGCCCTAACTTCTGGGGTTTACCTGAACAGAAAGACTATAAAGAGTAAGAGGAATTGTAATTTTAAAAGTAGACTTGGTTTTTTTTCCCTTTCAGTTATTTTCTTTTATTAATTTTTGTTATAGATGTTTCTCCTTTTTCCCCCACTGATTCCCTCTCCCCCTCCCTCCCTGCCCTGTCCCCAGCTTTGTTGTCCATGTCCATTGTTCATGCATACATGCATTT